AACGATTTACCATGGATTCTTCCGCGCACCAGCAAGTTCAAATGTTGGCACTTGTCCTAGTAACCCCCCTCTCTTCCCCCTGAACCCTCCCAGACTCCGGGCGTCGCGTCGGCTCGCCCCGTGGCCATCTTGTTCGTCCTCGCCGGCCGGTCAGATAGGCGACGCGAGGAGCTGAGACCCGGACGCACAGAGACGCTGGTATGACGTGGGACTGGCTACAAACCTGAGTAAGTACCACAACGCGTGATAAAAGGTGATGCATTACATTCTTTGCGTCGTTCTGTGCCTTGCATGTTGATATAACAGATCGAAGGTTTGAGATTAACTACATAACGAACCTCAGAATGTGTACTCTTCCTCAAACATTATTAGCATGATAGAAAAAAATAGATGGATGTCACATGTAGCACGCATGCCGAATATGAGAAGCGCATACAACATTTCTGATACAAAGCCTGAACCATCTGCGATAAATAATGGTAAGTGTGTTAGCTGAAAGGCAAAGTTGTCCCTGATGAGTATTATATAAGCACCACACAATGTACACGCCTCGGCCGCTTTAAATTCGATAAATTAAATGTCAGGGCCTGTCTGGACGTTGTGGCGAGTAGAAGGCGTTGCACTGCCAGGAATCAATCGTTCAGCCTGGCAGCTTACCCACAAAACTAATATGGTCATTCCTGTCCCTAAACGTAGATGAGGGGATATTAGAATGGATCGAAAGGTAATACGGATTGGATTAATTTGGCTCAGGACAAGGTCCAGTGGTGGGTCATTGTGAATCAGCTGAACGACTATGAGCTCTAATCCAGGGAGTCATTCGAGCGTCTTCATTTTACGTCCATGTACATCTTCTGACAATCTTTGTCCTGTCTCGTTCTCCCCTGCATGTCTCTGCTTTGCTCTCTGCTCTTAAATTTACCTCTAAATATATATATATTAAATTTTGTCCGTCTAATCACAATAATTCTTATTAAATATTAAAATATTACAATAATTAACATTTAAAATATTAAATGATGTTCTTTATCGAAATATTCGATTTACATTAGACCATCATTATCGAATATTTCGATAAAGAACATCATTTAATATTTTAAATATTTTAAATGTTAATTATTGTAATATTTTAATATTTAATAAGAATTTATTGTGATTAGACGGACAAAATTTAATATATACTTATTATATCACAATATGACGCAACTTTACCATCTCTAAATATATTTCCCGCATTGTTATTTCTGAAACATTTTTATGTAGCCCATCTGTTTATATTCCAAACCAATCTATTTCCTGCCTCTGTTGTCCTCCCCTCGTCTCGTATTTTCTTATCTTGTCACTTTTCCCCACCTCCCACCCACGTGTCTATCTTCGCTCTTTGATACTGACCAAACCTATCTGCGTTATCAGCATCTCTTCCTTCTTTCTTTCTTCATTTCCCCTCATCTTCTGCCTGTTTCTCATACAAATATCTGCCTCTCTTTCGTTTCTCTCGCACAGAGATGTCGCTGGTTCCTGCTGTGGCATGTCTGAAACTTCTTTGTATCTGTTAGGCCGATATGTGTACTATCTTCCACTTCGCTAAATTTTTACATAAATTATTTCAATATTAAACAGAAACTTTAATGATTAACCCACTCATAAAAAAATCCTGTTGAGGCTTAAATGAATTTTATACCACGTAAAATTAGTGTAATTAAATTTTAATATTGTAGGAAATTTCAAATTTATTATGTAAATAAGTTAACTTTACTCAGAGTCAACTGAGTCATTCACATAATTCCAGAGCTCTATGTTGTATGTATAAACGTATTATTTTTAGTGTGGATTTTTCGTTACGTGACACTGAATTACAGGAAAAGGATTTTTAGGTTCTCTCATTAGTTACATTTGAAGCGTGTGGATGAGGTCACAACCCTTTACCCATCCACATTCATCTTTAACTACGTTCTGCTTAGATGTGAGAGTTTCCAAATTCATCTTTCACCAGTTAAGACATATCAAGCAATGATTCTGTAATTCAGAAGCTAATTTATGAAAAGTACATTCTGAATTACGTTGTTAAATTTTATAAATTTCGGTTCTGAGCTAATTCCTCTTCTATCTCCATCTTTATTAATACTGTGGAAGAATAATAATTTATGGATCATAGTCTTGTGACGCCATAATACAGAATTATTCATAATTCCCTGACATATTACAAAAAGTCGCCAGGCTTGAGTAGTGCAAAGGATGGTAGCATGCGACATGCCGACATATTTGAAATATAGCCATCTTCTAGTCTACGAAATTACTCCTCACAATAGAAATTACCACAGTGGTAGCAGTGTTATTGATTGTTGGAACGATGTTGGGTGACACAGGAACACAAGGAAAGTCTGCGCGTTTTTGCAGAAGAGAGATGGATGCAGAGTGACATTCTGTGTCATAAGGGGACCAATGGTAATGCATTTAATGCGAAACCCAAACTTCTGTCAAAAATGCCGCAATTGATTGGCACCTAAGGAAACAAATCACCTCACAGACCCTCATTAATCGGAAGGTCACGGAGATTAAATATCCCTCCGCCAGGGAAATGCTGGAATAGTGCCAACATAACAGACCACAACCACGACGTTTCATGTAATTTATGATAGCCCTCCCTCTAGACCAGAGATTCCCAAACTTTTATACCTTGTGCCCCCCTTAAAACATTTCATAAATTTAACGCCTTCCAGAACAAGTGCAAGCAAACAGATTTGACATAAAATTTAGTTATGAGCCACGGTGGTCTAGCGGTTAGAACGCTGGCCTTGTAATCCTGGGGTCTCGGGTTCGATTCCCGGCGGTGCCCGAATTTATAACTTGTGTTGGGCAAGGCCGTGGTCTAGGCAAAACGGAGTTTTCCTCCGTGGCATCCCAACAATTACCCCATTCACACACAGAAGAAGGCAATGCCAAACCACTTCTGGATCATCTGCCAAGAACGGATATGAACAGGTCCCAGTCCGAGAAAAGGATCGAAGGATCCTGTTCATATGGACCTGTCATCAGACAGAACACTAAATAATAATAAATAAAGAATGTTAAAAATGTTTCTCCATATTTCGTTAAAAACGTTTTTCATAACAACAACAACCCCCCCCCCCCAGAAAACCACTCGCGCGCCCCTGGGGTCGGGGGCCACACTTTGGGAACATCTGCTCTAGACAGTCTGTACGACGCGTTGACAATCTCTTCAGGCCTATGATCACATTCAAGCTTAACGTCGCGTGGGCCGCAGAGTTGGAACAGAGAGGAACCGACTTCTTGAAATTCGTGCATTTTATTAACAACGCTGCTTACTAATATAGACAGGTACACACTGCCCTTGTAAAAGTTAATCACTATTTGAGGTTTTCATCACGGTGGTAAGTCTGAAGATGGCTGTCTTCTGGGTTGTTGCGCCGTTCAGTCTGGTAGAAGTTTACCGACGTTTCTGAGGTCCTTGGTGCCTCCATTATCAGGGTCATTTAAAACGCGACCCAGCAACGATCATATTTATTTTTATTTAGTGTTCTGTCTGACGACAGGTCCATATGAACAGGATCCTTCGATCCTTTTCTCGGACTGGGACCTGTTCATATACGTTCTTGGCAGATGATCCAGAAGTGGTTTGCCATTGCCTTCTTCTGTGTGTGAATGGAGTAATTGTTGGGATGCCACGGAGGAAAACTCCGTGTTTCCTAGACCACGGCCTTGCCCAACACAAGTTATAAATTCGGGCACCGCCGGGAATCGAACCCGAGACCCCAGGATTACAAGGCCAGCGTTCTAACCGCTAGACCAAGTATTTCTACGTGTGTGTAACATAATCTCACAGCCTCCCCCAGTGACACTCGAGTCAAAAGTATTTTTTGCTGATACGCCACTGCTCACGCCAGATGTGCAAAAGTTGTCCCGGTGCGATCATGTGTTTTTTTTCTGTAACATTACTTTGCTGCGTTCATGAAACATTCAGCAGTAAG